ATGCCTTATATTAAAAAAATATATAAATGTAGTATCTAAAAGAATATTGAAAAAAGGAAGTTTAACATAGACATCAGGGACGGAGCAACCATAGATCTGCTAAGCTTTTGAAAAATATCTAATAAGATATATCAATTTTTGTTTAGGACAAAATTTGTTTTTGATATTTGAATTATAGAAACAAGGAGTGAAACCAGAATCTATTATTGGATAAGGTCTATTCTATTTTTGAGTAATAGGGCATAAAATTAAAAGGCTTTGTGTATTGTGTTTATTTTAATAGGTAAAGGTTATAATTACAAGACTTTAAAATTATGAAAGTCTTTTGAGAGAAGGGTAGAGTTTGTGCGTATATAACTCCTCTCAAGCGTAGGTCTGCCCTTGATAGGATCCATTTCAAATCTGAAAAAAAAAAATAATTAGGACCAAGGTAAGGTGACAATTTTTCTCTTTGGCCAATTCTTAAGAAATAAAATTTTATCTAAGTAAAGAAAAATATTAAAAATAATTAAAATCGAGTTATATTAGTACAACTTATATATAATATTATACTAATTGTAACTTTTTGCATAATCATATTTTATCAAATTGATAATTAAATTTGATATTTTATTCATATGCATTATACATTCGTAATTTAAAGTTTATGTGATATCTATAATTACATGAAAAAAAATTATATTTTATATGAGATTAATTAGTGTCACTCCAAAATTACAATGTTTTAATAAAATAATAAAAAAAATAGTCTTCATTTTTTTTCTTTAAAATATGTTATTTTAGTTTTTTTAATTAAAATTTATTAAAATGATATAATTTTAAAATATTTTTTTATCTAATTTTATATAATTTCAAAGGATAAATATTTTATTATTACTTTATATTATTTATTTAAAAATATTAAATTATGTTTTATTTTAAAAAATTAAAAAATTAATTTGAAATTTAATACATAAGTGATACATTAACACACAAAAGTAATAATTAAGATAAAATTTTGTAAAAGTTATAATGTCAAACACTATAATGATGCATTTACACCCCTAAGCATGCGCATATTTGGTATGGAAATTGTTACTTCTTTGCAGGGGTGGGGACAACGTTTTGCAATGATGTGACGGGATGGGGCTAGGACAGGACAAAAAAGGAGAAAAAGTACGGGTAGGGACGGGACAACGTAGTATCTTGCAACGATGGTGACAGGATGGGGCTAGGACAGGACAAAAAAGGAGAAAAAAGTAGGAGCAGGCTTAACAGTTAACACGGAGAGTGTTGGGAGTTTTTCTGCGAGCTATGACGTCATACAAAAAACCAGTACTCTATTTTGTGAACCGAAGAGAAAACCTAAATTAGAAAATATTTTGGTTAATTGGTATGAGTTTTTATTTTTTTATTATTATTTATAAGTGATAAATTTAAA